ATTATCACCTAGGAACCATGCTGATTTCCTGATCTAGGGGTTCTGTGGTGGTAACCTGGGAGAGTGTCCGTGATTTGGGTAAAATATGCCGGAGTACTTTGTGGGAAGCTGCAAATCTGCTACAGCAATAACTGCTGGGGACTCTAAGAGAAGAAACAGGTTACATTTTGCACTGCTACTTGAAGCTTCCTAGAAGTATGACATTATGAAAAAGTAAATTGCTTTTTAAAACAACCATATCAATACTATGCCAGAAAAGCAGAGACATCACCAAAATCCACTATAGAGGCTACGCTTCATCCAAAGCTGTGAATGCTTATAAAAGCCTCAATGTCAACAGACTCTACTTAGTAGATATTATTATACTTATTAGTATTAGAGACTACTGGGTGGATATATTAGTGTTATAGCACGGTGTGGATATTAGTGTTAGGGCATGGTGTACAAATTATATTGGTATTGGAGATCAGTGCAGATATTACATTAGCATCAGGGCACCGTGTGGATAGTATTACATTAGTATTAGAAGCAACGGTGTGGATATCAGATTAGCGTTAGAGTATGGTGTGGATATTATATTGGTGTTAGGGCACGGTGTGATTATTATAGTAGAGGTCACTGTGAGAACATATCTTAGCAGCCACTGTGTCTGGGACATTGAAAATGACATCAGGGTGTAGTCATAAGGATGGGATTTGGGGATTTCATTTTTCTAGATGAATTTCTTCCTTTGCTGAGTACTCTAAAGACTCTCTTCTCTGCACTCAGGGCCGTGGAAAGGAAGCTGTTTACTCACCAATGAACAACACCTAGTTGACACGACCCTCCTGCTGCCCTGAGAAAGTCGAATCTCCTGGCTGCTTCTGGCACCTCAGAGGAAAGTTGGTGAGGAGTGGGTTCACGCGCCCTCTGGTGGCGCCAGAGCTCAGCACAGACGCTCTTGTTCAGTTTCTCGGCAGACATTCACCCCCGCCTGCCTGTCCTGACCTACAAAATTCGATATTGAGTTTATTCAGTGTAATAATTTTGGAAATTCAAACCAAAATGAAGCCCACTGTAGCCATATCCTTACCAAAATGGTGATGGAAGACTTTGGAAGCCGTGTGGAATGAAATGAATATACACACAAAATAAGAAAAACAAAAACCTACTCAAAATAGTCCAGAGACTGTAATTTGAAATGCAAAACTATAAAAAATCTAAAAGAAACTCTATGTGACGATGAGTTTGGTGTTGAGTTTTAACACACAACATTAAACGCCAATTCATGAAAATATTGATAACAGGCTTTATAAACTAAGTATTCTACTGTGAAAAACTGTATTCAGAGAACAAAAAGACAAGACAGACGTGAGAAGGTATTTACAAAATACATACGTGATTTTCAAACTGGGTCAACATCTGAACAGATATTCAACCACAGCAAATATGCCGATAGTAGGCTGGGCACGGTGGACGCCCATCTCTACTAAAAATACAAAAATTACCCAGGCGTGGTGGCGCATGCCTGTAATCCCAGCTACTCAGGAGGCTGAGGCAGGAGAATTGCCTGAATCTGGAGAGCAGAGGTTGCAGTGAGCTGAGGTTGTGCCACTGCACTTCAGACTGGGCAAGAAGAGCGGAACCCTATCTCAAAACAAAGAAAGAACAACAACAAAACAGGCTAACAAAATGCTGCGGCAGGGTATGACTTGAGAAGTCATTTCTGAGACAGGGGATGGGACCTGGGAGCTATCCAGCTCCTGAAAATATGCGGCAGGAGACAGAAGAGCTAAAATTCTCTACACAGCAGGACAATGTGCCTCTCGCTGTTGTGGAGACTGGGGGTGGACAATCAGGCTTGGGGCTAAGAAGCCTCTGGGAAAAGGCCCAGACCACACTGCTGAGCCAGCCCAGGGGCTCACACGCCCCCAAATCCCCACCCCCCATGCTGTCCAGAATGCCACACGCCACACCACTGCCGGGTCAGGTTGAGGAAACGCTGCCTTCTCGCATCGCATTCTAGCAACTAACATAAAAAATGTAAATAATGTTAACGAAATTAGGATTTTATGTTGTTTCAATTCAAACAGAAATTCAGTTGAGAAATAAATAGCCAGGTGTGGTGGCTCACACCTGTAATCCCAGCGCTTTGGGAGGCTGAGGGGGTGGATCACCTGAGGTCAGGACTTCGAGGCTAGCATGGCGAACATGGTGAAATGGCATCTCTACTAAAAATACAAAAATTAGCTGGGCGTGGTGGAGGGTGCCTGTAATCCCGGTTACTTGGGAGGCTGAGGCAGGAGAATCACTTGAACCCAGGAGGCGGATGTTATAGTGAGCCAAGATCACACCACCGCACTCTAGGCTGAGCAACAGGTCAACACTCTTCAAAAAGGAAAAAAAAAAAAGAAAAAGAAGAAATATTGTCTCACTAAAAGTAAAGGTAATGACATTTTGAACTTAAGAAAATTTTCTCAGGCACAGTTTTCCTTTTTCGGCTTAAAATTTTTCAAAATGCAGTCCAGAGAGTGGCATAATGATACCCACATACACAAAACAGATTTAACAGTTACTAACATGTTGCCACTTGTGCTTCATGTTTTTACATTATGAAATATTGTAATTTGCAGATCTCACAAAATTTCACTTCTAAATACTTCAGTATGCACCTATAAAAAAAAGTAAGCATGAAAGTGGGGTGTGGTGGTGGGCGCTGTGGTCCCAGCTACTCAGGAGGCTGAGGCAGGAGCATCGCTTGAGCCTGGGAGGTCGAGGCTGCAGTGAGCAGTAACTGCACCACTGCACTCCAGCCTGGGCAACAGAATGAGACTCTGTGTCTAAAAAACAAAGTATGTATGGTTGCCTACAAAACCAGAAAAACATATGGTAGCTGACACGAGTGGCGCAATCTCAGCTCGCTACAACCTCTGCCTCCTGGGTTTGAGTGATTCTCCTGCCTCAGCCTCCCAAATAGCTGGGATTACAGGCGTCCACCACCATGCCAGGTTAAGCTTTGCATTTTTAGTAGAGACGGGATTTCATCATGTTGGCCAGGATGGTCTCAATCTCCTGACCTTGTGATCCAACCGCCTCGGCCTCCCAATGTGCTGGAATTACAGGCGTGAGTCACTGTGCCTGGCCAGGAGGAGGTCTTTAAAAACCAATTAACCTCAGAAGGTGGGAGAAATGCCGGGCCACGAGGACACAGCCATGGGAAATGATATTTACATGGCTAAGAATCTGAGTTTCCTGTGAGAAACAACAGAAAAAAAAATATCCTACTTGTACAACGAGAGAAAATACTGTTTTTTTCCATGAAACCATAAGGGTGTGGGAACTGTAAACCCAAAATTACACATGAGGGCTTCCCCAGAGCTCGGTGTGGGTGGAGAAATGTGTCCTAACTGCTGCCTTGCCTGCCATCTTGGTACTGGGAACCCGTGAGAATTTCCTAGCCTGACACCCTGCGTCCAGCTTTTCTCAACAGATGCAGAGCAGTGCGTGTGTAGCCCAGCTGGGCAGCACCCAAAGGGCGAGACAGGCCACAGGCTCCCAAAGCTGGGCCCTCCTGGCTCCTGAGGACCCTCTGGGGATGGCGCTGGTCAGTATAGCCCTTTCTTTCTCTGCTCTCACAGCCGTGGGGTGCACATGCTCTTTCTGAAGCACTGAGACTCCCCCAGCCGAGGCCAGCAGCCAGACTGAGCCATGTCCTCTCCCTCACTCCAAGCTTCCTCCGCTCCTCAGTCTTCACTGCTGATCCCAACAAGGCCACCTGCCCCCAGCAGACCACACTGGAGTCCTGTGCACTGCAGCTGCTCCCACAGACTCGCGCTTAACCCTCACTGTGGTCCTGGCTTTCAAGGCCATTGCACCTGGGAGGAGACGGAGATGTCGGCTGCTGTCAGGGCACCTGGGTCATTCTCATTTGCTCCTGATGCAGTGACTCTGCCTGTGGGATCTGGCTGGGAACCTCTCTCCCACCCACTGCCAGAGACTCACATTCTGAGCCCAGACACAGCCTCCTTAGTCCTCCAGCGTCACTGCCTTCTGGGACACCCTAGGATACCTGGGAGGCTTCGGTGTGACTTTCCGGGCCAGGATCCCGTCTGACACCTGCAGGGAGGCAAGTCCCTGATGTTCAGCTGGAGTTCCGCAGGGTCTGCGTCACCTTCCTTCCCATCCGCCAAGGGCAGGTCTCCATTCCAGCCCCTTGGGTGGGGCTCCAGGCTGCACTTTTGCCCCCAGGGCTACACCACCCTTCCCATAGGCTAAGTCCTGATAGGAACACCCTGCAGGGTGAGGGAATAAGAGAGGTTCCAGGTGCAAACAAAACATCAGCAGACACTAAAGTTACCACCTGTACAAAAAACCAAATGTACCCTTTACCCTCCTGCTGAAAAAGTAAGCTCTGTGTGTTCTGCCACACTTCAGGGAAACCAGCCCCTGAATGACCCATTTCAGAAGCATGGCCCCCAGGTGCACGGGGTGGACATGAGCAGAGGGGAGGGGTGTGCTGACCCATCAGACCCTGGACCCCAGCGCCGTGCAGGGAGAAACACAAGTGTTGGGCTTGGCTGCTGCCCTCCACTGTCACAGCGGGTAAGTCAGCCTGAGGCCTGAGCTCCGCGGGGCCCTCTGACGGGAGGAACACCGTCACAGAACGGCCTCAAGGAACAGAGGCACTGAGACCACTCGTCAAACCAATGCTCTATTTTACTAAAAACCACATGTACATTACATTTTACAAAACAGTCCCTTCCTTAACCCCATAAAAGAATGGGGATATTGGGGAGCTATGGGAACAGGTCCCCCTCCAAATGCTCAGGGCTACTTAGGCCTCCCCAGACCCCTGATCCTGTGCAGGGCAGGGGCAGCAGAGCCTGCTCACTGCTCCCGTCAGCCCAGGGTTCCTAGAGCCCATCCGGAGCCCTCAGTGCCTGCCCAGGGCCAGAGGGACCACCTGGGGGGCCGGCCTCAGCTGGACTCACAGCCACTCCCTGCCTGGGCGGCATCCAGCCTTAGGAGGAGGAGTGCGGGTACCCAGAGTGGTTGTGGTCATCCTCACCCAGGGTCACTGTCAGTGACAGGCTGGGCTTCCTTTCCAGCCCCTCCCCCTTCAGGCAGTGCTGTGGGGGTCGGGCTTTGAAGAAGTCTGAGACGTAGCAGACCTGGCAGAGTGGAGGAAGGCGAGACTGGGCAGGGGCTGGGCAGGCACCAGGGACTTGGGCAAGGGCAGGAAGGGGAGGAACAGGGTCCCAGGTGGGCAAATAGAGGAAGACTGCCTGTGGGGGGAAGAGAGCCCTCTTGGTGGACCACCAGTGGAGAGCACTGGGGGCTGACAGGCCCAGGGAAGGACTGCGGTGTGCAGGCAGGAGACCCAGGGAAGAACTGGGGGAAGAAGGTGTCCAGGGAAGGACTGGGTTTGGGGAGAGGGGTCCCAGGGGATAAACGGGGGGAAGGGAGGGGCCCCCAGAAAGGATTGGGGTTGAGGGAAGGGGTCCCGGGGAGGAATGGGGGAAGGAGGGGTTCTACGAATGGACTGGGGTTGGGGAAAAGGGTCCCAGGGGAGAAATGGGGAGAAGGGAGGGGTCCAGGGAAGAACTGGGGTTGGGGGAAGGGGTCCCAGGGGAGGATGTGGGTGGGGGAAGCATCCTGGGATGGACTGGGGTTGGGGGATCCCAGAGGAGAAATGAGGAGAAAACGGGGTCCCAGGGAAGGATGGGGGTTGGGGAGAAGGGGTCTCAGAGGAGAATTGGGGGTAAGAGGGGTCCCAGGTATGGACTAGGGTTTGGGGAAGGGGTCCCATGGAGGGATGTGTGGAAGGAGGCATTTAGAAAGGACTGGGGCTGGGGGAAGAGGTCCCAGGGGAGAAATGGAGAGAAGGGAGGAGTCCAGGGAAGAACCGGGATTGGGGGAAGAAATCCCAGGGAAGGATCTGGGGGTGAAGGAGGGGTCCAGGGAAGAACTGGAGTTTGGGGTATGGGTCCCAGGGGAGAAACCGGGAGAAGGACGGGTCCCAGGGAAGGACCAGGGTTGGAGGAAGGGGTTACAGGGGAGGACTCCGTGGGGCAAGAGTGTGCAGGGAAGGACCAGGGTTGGGCAGGGAGTGGTCTCTGGACAGCACAGGGGGTGAGTCAGGGTCAGAAGCTCACAGTGAGGCCAGCCACAAGCGCCCCCTGCAGGGGACCAGCAAGGACATCACTCCAGTGATCAGACACGCGGGTGTAGCCCACATAGAGGGCAAAGGCCACCAGGAAGAACTGGACCGTGGGCCGCAGCAGCTGCGTCCACTTCCAGCAGAGCCGCGCCTGCATGTAGTGCTGGGACGGGAGAGGGTGCCTCAGCCTGTGCCCTGCCAGGCACTCCCACGCCCACTGCACAGATGGCAGCTCCGAGGCCGAGGGCATAAAACCGGCCAGCCCAGGGCCTCCTGTTTTTTTTTTTACAAACAAGTCAGTGAGCGCCTCCATCACCACGGTGACCTACCCATTTTACAGCTGGAAAAACCGAGGTCCGGGGAAGGGAGTGACTTGACGGGCGAGCCCCAGAAAAACGGACTCACCGCCAGGAACCCCACGCAGTACATCCCAAAGGAGGCGTGTCCCGAGTAGAAAGACAACCTGGGGAAGGAGAGGCAGCAGGTTGGCTGATAAATAGATAAACAAAATGTGGTGTGTCTCTACCACGGAATATTATTCATCCATAGAAGAAATCAAATACTGACACATGCTATGACATGAAAGAACTCTGTACACATTGTGCTAAAGTGAAAAAANCCCAGGGTCACTGTCAGTGACAGGCTGGGCTTCCTTTCCAGCTCCTCCTCCTTCGGGCAGTGCTGTGGGGGTCGGGCTTTGAAGAACTCTGAGATGTAGCGGACCTGGCAGAGTAGAGGAAGGTGAGACTGGGCAGGGGCTGGGCAGGCACCAGGGACATGGGCAAGGGCAGGAGGGGGAGGAACAGGGTACCAGGTGGGCAATGAGAGAAAGAGTGCCTGTGAGGGGAAGAGAGCCCTCTTAGTGGATGACCAGTGGAGAGCACTGGGGCTCTGACAGGCCCAGGGAAGGGCTGTGGTGTGTAGGCAGGAGACCCAGGGAAGGAACTGGGGGAAGAAGGTGTCCAGGGAAGGACTAGGTTTGGGGAGAGGGGTCCCAGGGGAGAAATGGGGGGAAGGGAGGGGCCCCCAGAAAGGATTGGGGTTGAGGGAAGGGGTCCCGGGAAGGAATGGGGGAAGGAGGGGTTCCATGAATGGACTGGGGTTGGAGAAAAGGGTCCCAGGGGAGAAATGGGGAGAAGGGAGGGGTCCAGGGAAGAACTGGGGTTGGGGGAATGGGTCCCAGGGGAGGATGTGGGGGTGGGGAAGGGTCCTGGGATGGACTGGGGTTGGGGGATCCCAGAATAGAAATGAGGGGAAAAAGGGGTCCCAGGGAAGGATGGGGGTTGGGGAGAAGCAGTCTCAGAGGAGAATTGGGGATAAGAGGGGTCCCAGGTATGGACTAGGGTTTGGGGAAAGGGTCCCAGGGAAGAATGTGGGGAAGGAGGCATTTAGAAAGGACTGGGGTTGGGGGAAGGGGTCCCAGGGGAGAAATGGAGAGAAGGGAGGAGTCCGGGGAAGAACTGGGATTAGGGGAAGGAATCCCAGGGAAGGATCTGGGGGTGAAGGAGGGGTTCAGGGAAGAACTGGAGTTTGGGGTACGGGTCCCAGGGGAGAAACCGGGGAAAGGAGGGGTCCCAGGGAAGGTGTCACAGGGGAGGACTCCATGGGGCAAGAGTGCAGGGAAGGACCAGGGTTGGGCAGGGAGTGGCCTCTGGACAGCACAGGGGGTGAGTCAGGGTCAGAAGCTCACAGTGAGGCCAGCCACAAGCGCCCCCTGCAGGAGACCAGCAAGGACGTCACTCCAGTGATCAGACACGCCGGTGTAGCCCACATAGAGGGCGCAGGCCACCAGGAAGAACTGGACCGTGGGCCACAGCAGCTGCGTCCACTTCCAGCAGAGCCGCGCCTGCATGTAGCGCTGGGACGGGAGAGGGCGCCTCAGCCTGTGTCCTGCCAGGCACTCCCACGCCCACTGCACAGATGGCAGCTCCAAGGCCGAGGGCATAAAACCGGTCAGCCCAGGGCCTCCTGTTTTTTTTACAAACAAGTCAGTGAGCGCCTCCATCACCACCACGACCCACCCATTTTACAGCTGGAAAAGCCGAGGTTCAGGTAAGGGAGTGACTTGACGGGCAAGCCCCGGAAAAACGGACTCACCGCCAGGAACACCACGCAGCACATCCCAAAGGAGGCGTGTCCCAAGTAGAAAGACAACCTGGGGAAGGAGAGGCAGCAGGTTGGCTGATAAATAGATAAACAAAATGTGGTGTGTCTCTACCGCAGAATATTATTCATCCATAGAAGAAATCAAATACTGACACATGCTATGACATGAAAGAACTCTGTAAACATTGTACTAAAGTGAAAAAAATAAGCCAGCCACAAAAGATCACACATTACACAATCCTGTTTATATAAGAGGTCCAGATTAGGCAACTCTATAGTGACAGAATATAGATCAGTGGTTGCCTATGGGAGCATAAGGTTATAGGGGGAGTGGAAGCTAGTTGTAAAGAAATGTGGATTTCTGTATATGGTAATAAAAGCTTCTAAAATTGATTGGGGTAATAGGTGCACAGCTCCATGAATATTCTAAAAGCCACCAAATTGCATACTTTAACAAATAAATTGTATGGTATGTGAAATGCATTTCAATAAAGGTGTTATTTAAAAATACATATATATATATATATATATTGGTGGCCAGGCATAGGTGGCTCATACCTGCCTATAATCCCAGCACTTTGGGAGGCAGAGGCAGGAGAAACCCTTGATTCTAGTAGTTCAAGACCATCCTAGGCAACAAAGCATGACCCCATCTCTACAACAATAGATAAAAAATTTACCTCTGTGTGATGGTGTATGTCTGTAGTCCTAGCTACTTAAGAGGCTGAGATGGGAGTACTGCTTGCGCCCAGAAGAATGAAGCTACAGCAAGCCATATCACACCACTGCAATGCAGCCTGAGTGACAGAGCAAGTCCCTGTCTCTGAAAAGAAAAGGAAAGAAATGCAAGTTTTTAAAACTGATTTGCGAGAGTAACCAAGTTTGAGGAGAAACAGAGGAAAAAAGAGCACTGAATGGTGAGGGTAGTAGCTGGTTTGCCTCAGTTTATAGCTAATTAATTGGCTTCTGAAAAATTTCTTACTAAAATGCCAGCTCTGGGGGTCAGTCATGCAGTCAAATGATAAATCCTAAATCCTTTACGAATGCTCATCATCTTTCTTTACATGCCTTCTAGTGAAAAATTCTTAAGCGCCTAAATATCAAGTGGTCTGAGATGATAGCAGCTGTTTATTAAAGAAATAACATCTCAGCCAGGTGAAGTGGCTCATGCCTGTAATCCCAGCACTTTGGGAGTCCAAGGCGGGCAAATCACCAGAGGGCAGGAGTTTGAGACCAGCCTAGACAACATGGCAAAACCTCATCTCTACTAAAAATACAAAAATTAGCTGGGTTTGATGGTGCATGCCTGTAATCCCAGCTATTTGGGAGGTGGAAGTAGTGAATCTCTTGAACTCGGGACGTGGGGCTTGCAGTGAGCCAGCATAGCACCACTGCACTCCAGCCTAGGCAACAAGAGTGAAACTCCATCTCAGAAAAAAGAAAAAACAAAAGAAATAACATCTCAATTTGTTTGTTTGTTTTTCAGATGGAGCCTTGCTCCATCACCCAGGCTGGAGTGCAGTGGTGTGATTTTGACTCATTGCAACCTCCACCTCCCAGGTTCAAGTGATTCTTCTGCCTCAGCCTCCTGAGTAGCTGGAATTACAGGCACGTGCCACCATGCCCAGCTAATTTTTTATTTTAGGTAGAGACGGGGTTTTGCCATGTTGGTCAGGAGGATGTGGATCTCTTGACTTCATGATCCACCCTCCTCAGCCTCCCAAAGTGCTGGAATTATAAGCATGAGATTTTAATTACAAGCACTGCACCCAGCATTTAACATCTCGATTTTTGAAAACCATGAGTCAAATATTATTTTCCTTTTTTCATTTTACAGGTGTGCAACCTAAAGGATAGAGAGCTCAAAGAATTTTCCTAAGTGGCAGAATGCAGATTTAAATTCTATCACTTTGGCCTCAGAGTTTGTGCTTTATTTTATTATGATAATTTTTTTTTTTTTTTTT